AAAAAGAGAGGAGAGAAAGAGAGGAGAGGAGAAAAAGAGGAGAGAGAGGAGAGGAGAGAAAGAGGAGAAGAGAGAGGAGAGGAGACGCAAGAAAGAGAGGAGAGGTGAGAAAGAGAGAAGAAAGAGAGGAGAGGAGAGGCAAGAAAGAGAGGAGAGGCAAGAAAGAGAGGAGAGGAGAGAGGGCAGGACAGGGTAGAATAAGAGTTGGAAAGGGATTTGGAGGTCTTCTAGTCCAGGGGTCCCCAGCCCCCAGTCCATGGACTGGCACCAATCCGTGGCATGCCAGAAACCAGGCCACAGAAACAAGCAAAGCCCCATCCATGGGATGCAGGCAGCACATGAAACCACACACCCTTCGCTCCACAGAAAAACCTCTCTCCACTGTACCCCAAAGGGTCCTTTCACCCTCGTTGGTCCAGCAAGGATATGGATAGGCTCAAATTCATAACCATGGGAATTTAATGATTGAATTCCCCGGAATAATAAGGGACATGATGACAAGTCATCTGAAATGCCAGATCATTTGCATTAAGGTATTAAATAAGAAAATGCATATTACGTCCTAATGTTCTAGCCTCACCCCAAGGCACAGTAAAATGGTTTATAAACCGAGCAGGTGCAACTAAATGAATAAATAAATCAAAGCATTAGTAAATGGGAATAGCATATTAGATTCGGCCATTAACAAGCCTTGACTTGAGCCTCCAAATGTTTTGTTTTTTTAAAAATATCCCTCCCTTTATGTAATCCTTCCAACATTGCCTTCATATGTGACACATCTCAACATAGACTGACATTTCCTGAATCTAATGGGTTCAAAAAATGCATTTCTTTCTCTGTTCCTCAACTGGGGGTATCTCCCCTCCCTTCTTCTATTTTTATTGTTGACCTTTGCAAGTGGAAGTTTTTGCTTCTGGTATACACAACCAAACTTCTGAAAATTAATGGGTGGTTCTTTTATTACATATAACTGAAATTGTAGGTGGTGATCATTTTGGGTTTGCTCCCCTTGACAAATCTCAAAAACAGGAGATGTCATATGATGGTCATTTTCTCCTGCTCTCATGTCACCTTGGTCCTTGATAGCTGTCTTCCAATATTTGAGGGGCTGCCACAAAGAAGAGGTGAGTCAACCTGTTCTCCAAAACAGGGAAAGCAGGACAAAACCCAGTGGTTGGTTGAAACAAATCAAGGTGAGAAGAACCAAGCAAGAAACCCATCAAGGAGAGAAGAACCGAGCGAGAAACCCATCAAGGA